CAATTCGGGTTGCAGCCAGAGTCACGAAACGAATTAAGTTCGTAAACCGAGGTTCCACTGTAAGTGACAACTGATAGGATTTTTTTTTTTCCCCACATATCTTGGAGTACGAGCAGGATACGCGGCCATTTTCCCTCCCGTGACACGGTCCGTGGCCATTTTTCCGCCCCTGACACGTGGTGTCATTTACAACTGGTGCCATTTACAGATGGACAAACAGAGGTTAAGGCACCTATCTCTGTTACAACTGCATCCTTTCCATTCATTTGACATAACTACACACATTCTTAGAATCACAGCCAATAAATACAGCAAACTCAAATACTCAAATTCATGAACGCTCATAACTTCACCGCATTCGAACCTATAATATTTGCTCTTTAAGGCACATGAAGACATACACACCCTTATTTCAATCTACAGTGAATGAGGCTTTCATTCTTTTAAAAGCCAGTTATGAGATTCCAGCAAGTCTTCATGATTCTGAATTCTACTTAAGTCCTGCAGCCTAAGAAAACAGTGCCCCTTGGATGCTAAGGAGCTAAATCATTTAGGTCTCCATTTGCCAGAATTTTAAAACTTTAGCAATAGGGCTCTAGACAAAGCTCAAAGGATTAATTTGCGTGTAGTTTATTCACAGTGTTACTCAGTGTAGGCTCCAATTTTATGCCCACTTACACTACAGGATTAGGTTGCAGGTATCTCAATTTCAATCAATGTAGGTCTGGAGAACAGGATGGGGGAATGGATCCTGAAATGGCAGAGTAGAAAATACCATTACAAGCCACACAGGACGTAAGCTCCTGTCCGCTTGTTTTATGATATTCAGAAATTATTTTAAATGTGGGCGTACGGAGAGTTGGCATCTGGCCATATTTGACATTAGCAACCAAGTTTTTGGTCACCATGGAGCCTCCTTGGGAACCTGCTCAGGCAAGGGCAGGCAGGGCCCATCACTGTAACCTGTTTTGAACTCCTGGACCAAACGGGTGGGAATGAGGGGCTACTTTGGAAAGCCCACCTAAAATCAAAATGGTGCCTCAGAGCCAGCCATACAGCACCCAGCGCAGACTGTTGTCTCACACTAAGAATGCCTCTCACAAGCACTAAAGCGTGTTCAAAATAAAGATCTTTAAGGCTGGAGGAACCTTTCCAAGCCAGTATTATTTATCCCCATTTCAAGCTTGCCTCCAAAAGGACTGGCTGCACGGAACATCCTTTCATTTTCTGCACTCCTAATATATCAGGAAAACACTTCTGTCTGGCCTTGCTATTGAAGGAGAATAGGGCACAGCAAAAAAGGCAAGCAATTTATGGTGGCATACTTATCTGCCAACTCAAGGACAGGAGAAATGCCCATTAACACTGCCTAGAGGAAGAGCTCAGACAGAGTGAGACACACGTGTCGATGCTGCTGTGACTATGAACAGGCATTCCTGTTACATTTGATTCTTGCCCTCTCATTCCATCCACAGGGCTATTTCATGTTTTAATAGTCAAAGCACAACAAGCAGAAAGGGGTTGATAAAAATAAAACAAGGATGGGGAATCTGTGGATCTTCAGATGCTACTGAACTACAACCCCTAGCAGTCTTCACCACTGGCCATGTTGACTGGGCATATATACCTAAGGGAACAGGTTCCCCACCCCTGCTGTAACTTATTTTAACATGTCAACTCAACTATTTTGACTCTACAATAACTTTCTGCAACTTAGTGCCTTCCAGATGGTCTACGAAAGGTCATAAAGGTGGAGAATTCTGGGAATAACAGAATTCTCAGTGCAGATGGAAGTGTCAAAATGGTAGAAGGCTGCTCTAGGGCTCTGCAGGGTACAACGCCTCTGTTATGCAAACCTTATCAATACCCATATTATTACTGTCCCTAAATTTCCTTTTAAAAAATCAGTGATGATATTTGACTAGGAATCTGAAGCTCCCTGAGAAGATCAAAATATTAATAGCTCAGGGACAGGTGGACCTCCACTGTAGCAACTGCAGATGGTTCTGCTAATGAAAAGCTTCCCCAGAAACACTAATTAAGGTAATATTTTCCCTCTGGGAACTTTGTGCCTTAGAATAAAGTCACTTACTGGTAGTTTCCCTCTCTTTCATTTTCATATTTATAAAACTAGCAGAGGAACATGGTATGCCAAATAAAAAAGGAGGGTCCTTTTTTCTAATTTTGATACAGATGGGAAAAGGGCAGTGAGATTAAATTCAGTAATAAAGGGGGCAAGGAAATGGGGTGGAAAATGATACCATCACATCTGTGTGGCCATTTTAAACAGCTCATGATGAAAGAGCACAAGAGTCTTAATTCAGATAATTTTATGCTAGGAGACTTGTAGTGCTTAAACTAATTATTCTGTTTGCCTAATTATTAGGCAAAGATTCAGGGTCCAACAGTTCAGAGGACTCCCAAATTCAATACTAAAGAAAATAACTTCCATCTTGTTTTATGACATTCTTCTAATTTCATTTCAGCTTACCAGAAAAAAAGTGCCAGGCTTATAATGACACAGCCTTTGTTACTCCTCCTCTGCA